GAACCACCAGGATGTACAGTGTCACAGTTTTAATTACAACAAAATAAGCAAAACATGTCAAGACTTCCAGGATTACATCTTAGGAGAAAAAAACTTGTATGGTTGGACAGACAGATGGACCAACAGATAGACAGAGTGATTTCTATAGGAGAACCTTCATTTCATGAGCTCCTAAATATATTGTAGCATCTCCAAGCATATTAATATTACTCTTATGCTACCCCACCATAGTTTGATCAGGAAGGCTGGTTAGTATCTGCAGATGGAACCGGTTATTCCACAGTTAAACAGGGGCAAGTCATTGCAAAACTCTGACATCAGCAGGTCTGTGGCATGTGGGCAACAGATTCAAGATCATGTAACACTGACACTTGCTATGGTTTGAAATCTAGCTGCTGATGTCACCAAATGAGGACTGCAGTTACACATTACAGAAGTAATGAGTTTCCTCTGTGCGTGATAAACTGATATACTCTTAATGACTACATGGATTTCGTACACAGATGGTTGTTGTTCTTGACAGATTTACATACAAGAGAAAAAGAGTGATTCTTGAATGTCAGCCTTGTCTAATGTTGTATTGCAAGAACGTTCAATGAATAAACCTCACATTCTTTTCCTGTCTAACTTTCCTTTACCTATAGGGTTAATCCTTCCTTACACAAACTACCTGTTGAAACTCAAATTGTAAATGTCATTCTACCTTCCCCTATCTGGGACATATTTGATATATACTAATATCTAATGAGTCTATTCTTTTGCTTTCTTTTTCTGAAAGGAATTAAACTCATACCAAAGGACAACAGGGACTGGTTGTGAATGTGTACACGGCTTTAAAATAAGGTAACACTTACTAAACTGCTGTGTGACTAGTTCTTTTAATACTTAAAGTCTTTGCACTACATCAGTTGGAAAGGAACTCAGTTGTGTTGTGTTTTTAGGGATTGTGTGTGATTTTATGGATTTTTGTTAGATCCATGGGGCCCACGATCAGGTTAAAATGCCTCTATCCAGTGAAAAAACATTGTGTTCTCCCTCCTCAGTCCCTGTTACTCTGAACCTCAGCACTGTACATCCAAGACTCCACTTGTCTGATGATCTTAACTCAAGGACACACTGGGACATCCAAGTTTACATGCACTCAATAATCCGATAATTGCAGAAAATCTGATTTTGTCAGTAATCCGATCAACACGTTTACATGCTCTTGAGTAATCAGATAATGGGGAAACTCGGGGTCTACATGAGTCAGGCAGTAATCAGATTTCTGCTTTCAGGTAACTACAGAAATCCGATTATGATCAGATTATTGAGTGAATGTAAACATACTCAGTGTTGAGAGAAAAACTGGTTTTAATAACAGAGTCTGAACTCGTAAAGGTAACTACAAGGACTTCAGTGCAAACTGGTTGAGCTGTTCTTAGGTTATAGAAGTGTGTAATTAAACTTTGGGCCCACCAATATGACCTGGCCATTTAGAGAAAGTGCAGAGAGTCAGAGTGCAGCTGATTTGCTCTTCACTTACTTAACCGTGCTCAAATGGAAAAAAAAAACAAAAATTTAAAATAAATGAGTCTGTTTGGTTAATATCCTGGGTGCTCCAGCACCCCAACGCGACCCAGAAGGATAAGCGGTTTAGATGATGTGTGTGTGTGTGTGTGTGTGTGTGTGTGTGTGTGTTTGGTTAATTGATTGACTAAGCAATTCAGTGGGTAATTACTTTCCACACAGTCTCAGTTGCTGTTGGATATCTTTTTTTCCTTCAATAAATGAAATGATCATTTAAAAATGTATTTTGTGTTCAATAAACAAAGTTAGCATTTAGAAACTACATGAACAAACAGATTGGGACATCTACACATCACACCTACAGGAGCTTTTATGACATCCCATTCTAAATTCACAGGCATTAATATGGAGTTGGTCCCATTTTTGCAACTATAACAGCTTCCTCTGAGAACTTTCTACAAGATTTTGGAGAGTGTCTGTGGGAATCTTTGCTCATTCATCCAGAAGAGCATTTGTGAGGTCAGACACTGATGCTGGACGAGAGGGCCTGGCTCAAAATCTCTGTTCTAGTTCATCCCCAAAGGTGTTTGATTACAGTTGTCATAGTGCAGTCAGGCAGGTAATGTTCTCCTGGCATTCACCAATCCCAGACTCATTGGGCGAAAGGCAGGAAACACTCTGGACAGGTCGCCAGTGCATCGCAGTCTCACACACACACACACACACACACACACACACACCTAGGGGAAGTTTAGTATCTCTAACTGGCCTGACTGCATGGCTTTGGACTGTGGGAGGAAACTAGAGTACCCAAAAGAAACCCATACAGGGAGAACATGCACTCCATGCAGAAAGGACCCTGGTCACCCAGCCGAGGAATTAAAAACTCTATTTAAAAGCTTTGAATTTCTCAGGTAATCTTTGTCTTATATTACATTTTATTATAAAAATGTTTTGCACATGTGCAAATATAGAATAAATCAATGGGCCAAATTCTAGAACAGTTAAGACATCATAACTTAAAAATAACGTATGTGGGATTATGCAGGGATCAATAATGTGTTTTGAAAGTGATAGAGAGACACTCACCACACATGGATTGTATATACTGTTGCAGAATGACACACACTCCTGGGCAAAAAATAAATAAATAAAAAGTAAAAAAAATGGCAAACATTTAGCTTTAATGGTCTTAACAACAAACCATTAAACAAATAGATAAAGTTACTTTCCTCTGATTTCTTTAAATGTTAAAGTTTTCTGTAAATTTTAAGACGAGCTTTACAGAAAGAAGAGTCAGTGTTTTTCCACTCAGCACTGACGGCTTCAAACAGCTGAAAAACACTGCCGAGCTGGTTTGTGTTTAATGTGAGAACAAATATTCTCTATAGGGTTTAAATCTGGACTCTCACCAGGCCAAAACCATCAGTGAAAACAATTAGATTTTAGGCTTGGCCCATTTTTCTGCCCAGGAGTGTACATGTAAAGGTTCTTGTAAAAAATGTTTATCAACTTTAAGAAAATGATCTTGGCTAATTTAGTTGTACATGAACAGTTCCCATCTACTTGTTCAGCTCCTCCCTCTCCAAAGCCCCTCCTCCCTTCTGCAATCGACCTTCTGGAAGAAACTGAAACTCATACTGCCTGATTCTTTGATCCTCACTCCAGCTTACCTCGGCAGAAAGACAGCGATACATACTCTTTTCTAACAACTCTTTTTTCATTCTTTATTAATGTGGTGAGATAAAGGACTGCAGTGGCTGATTCTGAACACTTCTGCTGTGCTCAGTGCAGAAATCCATAAACTGTGAGTGACGTTTGGACAAAAGAAGCCATTAAAAAAGAGATCAGCTGTTGGAGACAATGACATTGAAACGCTCTCTAACAGAGGAGGATCTTTCATGCTGTGTGTGCTGTGACATCTTCAGGGATCCTGTTCTATTGCTTTGTAGCCACAGTGTGTGTAAAACCTGTCTGCAGCAGGGAAACTAAGACGTCTCGAGAATTTCCAGTGTGTAAAAGAAGATCCTCTAAAGATGATCCTCCCTTTAATCTTGTACTGAAGAACGTGTGTGAGTCTTTTCTAGAGAGCAGGAGTCAGAGATCTTCAGCAGGGTCTGAGGTGCTCTGCATTCTGCACAATGAAAAACTCAGACTCTTCTGTCTGGATGATCAGCAGCCTGTGTGTTTGGTGTGTCAGACTTCAAAGAACCACAAAGATCACAAGTGCTGTTCAATAATGGAAGCTGTAATTGACTTTAAGGTAGGACACTTTTTCTACTGTTTCAGTTTTGAAAAATAACTCAAAAAAAGTTAGAAGTTATTTTTCTCAAATGCATTAAAGCCTTTCTTGTTAGAGTTGAAGTCTGACAGTGGGTGTGGTTTTTAGCTTAAGTTATGTAAGAATAATTAAAGTATCCATTTATTTGTATTTATCTTTGAAAGCTAGAATATATATATATATATATATATATATATATATATATATATATATATATATATATATATATATATATATATATTGTCAGATCAAAACCTCAAAAAGTAACTTTACAGGAGAAAAAACAATTTGGGTGGTAATTTTATAAAAAGCTGAATATCCTCCAGATCCTCCAGCAAGTGCCCCTGTGAATAATGTGCTGTGTACAAATCACACATTGGCTCAAATGCGTATCATGTAGCATGCACAGTGATTACAACCCACAGCCAGTCTAAGATAAGGTGGGGCCATTAACATATGATTTAAATGTTAAGTGTGGAGAAAAAAAAAAAAAACAGGAAGGAAACAAACACACCTTCCAGTTTTTACCATTTAATGCATGCGGAGATAGACATACAACAATATTAAAGGCAAAAAGAGACCACGAGTAATGTTATTTTTAATATTTACAATATTTACAAAAAAGCTGTAAGACCTGCTGCTTACATAGAAAGGAGTCTGGACCTGAATGGCACTAAAGGAGAGAAATCCTAGAAAAAATACATAATAAGTAAATAAACAAACAAAAAATAAATAAATACTTTTAATAGCGAGAGCTCACCCAACAGCAAAAACAAAAAGGCTACCAACTCTGTTCTTATGTATACCAAAAAGCAAATGCAAAGACTGGTCTCTGCTCCTTAACTACTGTGCCTATATATTGGGTTAATAGATTCTCGAGGATGTATGAGTGAATTCATTATGTGCCATCTCATTTTAGTGTTATGCCCTACCTACACACCGGCTCTCTGTAAGACCACTATGAATTTACAACAAAAAGAAAGCCTCTCTGAGACACTCAGTCCATTTACACAGTAACATCTGGTATTTTAAAAAACAAGCAAAAGCATGTTTTAACCTGGGATAGTTCACTTTTAGGAAAATCTCAAGACTGCTTTGGAGCCTCTACAGAAGAATCTGAAAGTCTTAGATGAAGCTAAACAAGACTATGACCAAACAGCAGCTCACATTAAGGTGAGACATCATCTTGAATTGTGAAACATGTTTCTAAGGTCATGTTTCTGATGAGTGTCCACTTCTCCTGTAGGTGGTAAATGCTTGTAGATCATCTGTTAGAGTTTGTGTTTCCTAATGGTCTCTCATTCCAGACGCAGGCCCAGCACACAGAGAGGCAGATAAAGGAGGAGTTTGAGAAGCTTCACCAGTTTCTAAGAGATGAAGAAGCAGCAAGGATAGCTGCACTGAAGGAGGAAGAGGAGCAGAAGAGTCAGATGATGAGGAGGAAGATTGAGGAGTTGAATGGAGAAATATCAGCTCTTTCAGACACAATCAGAAACATAGAGAAGGAAATGGAAGCTGAGGACGTTCTGTTCTTACAGGTTCTGTTCTCTCTTACTCTCTCTTTCATTCATGCACACAAACCAGAAATAGTATAGATTGAAGAGAAATGGTCATATTAAAAACTTTCAGACCGGCGCAGCAGCAACGATTTTTTGTTCCCATTTAAAATAAAGCTTTTATGATAAAAATAGCTGAAATTTGATTCAAACTACATCAGTGACTCTCTTCTCTCTTTGTTTCCATTCAGAGGGTGAAGTCTACGATGAAACAGTAAGTCTGTGTCTTCATGTTTGTAAAAGCATTTAGGTGACTTTTAAATCTTCAGTATGCAGTGTATACAGTATAACAGAAGAATAGTTCTAGTGGAGTCAATGAGGAATATTACATTTTAACATTCATTTAAATGATTTATGATAATCTGCATTTTAACTCAAGACAATAAATGAAATAAAACACAGTGATATTAAGTCAAATAAATTACAGGCTGTAAAGTTTCTACAGTGATATATTTCACACAATCTTCTATTTTCAGAGCTCAGCTCACACCAAAGGCTCTGATCAATGTTGTGAAACACCTTTCCAACCTGAAGTTCAGAGTGTGGGAGAACATGCAGGAGATTCTCCAGTACAGTAAGTTCTGTTTCTCTTAAAGTCTTTATCAGATATTATGAAGGATTACTGAAGGTTCAACTGCCAAAAAGCATTCTTCTGTTGTTACAATGTCAAGCTTGTTACAATAGAAGAGCCCGCTTAAGCATATAATTGTTTGATTAAAAATCCAATTTATTTAGCAGAGGAATTTAGATTAATAATAGATGTAATGTGTGCTTTAGAAACCTGAAGTAAAGGGAAGAAACTGCAAAGATCTATCATGATGTTTCATTGTGTTCTCTCTCCTCAGCCCCTGTTACTCTGGACCCCAACACTGCACATCCAGCCCTCCACCTGTCTGATGATTTCACTGCTGTAGAATACAGATACACAGATTCATCACTTCCTGATAATCCAGAGAGATTTGATGTGCGGCCATATGTTGTGGGTTCTGAGGGTTTTAACTCAGGGACACACTGCTGGGACGTCCAGGTTGGAGACAGTGATAACTGGAGGCTGGGTGTGATAACAGAGTCTGTAACAAGAAAAGGAGACTCTGTCTGGTATTCAGTGTGGGGTCTAGATAACAATAAAGACAGTAATACACTCTGCATACGCTGTCCAGGACAGCCAGATTACTATGACACTCCTAAAGAGAAGCTGCAGAAGGTCAGAGTGCAGCTGGACTGGGACAGGGGGAAAGTGACCTTCACTGATCTTCTAACTAACAAACACCTGCACACCATAACACACACTTTCACTGAGAGAGTTTTACCCTTTTTTGGTAATGGGATTGGTCATCTGAGGATCATACCAGTGAAGACGTCAATAACAGTGGAAACAAATGTTTAATTTATGCATTTTTTAATTCAATCATTATTTTTGTAATTTATGTAAAACACCACATTTTAGTCATAAAAGTATCACTATCCTAGCCTTAAATACTTAAAAGTATGAAAAAATGATAACACAGCAAAGCACTAACAGTCAGCAGTAAGCTCTCTGTGTCCTGCATGTCTTCAAAGTGTGTTACAGAGAAGGCATCAGGCTTAGCATCACGATAGCAATGACCATCACAAGACCCCCTGTGTGGACAGATACTCTTAAGTGCATTTCTTAAAGCTTCAAGTCTCCTGCTGGCTATAAGTCTCCTGCTCTCTGGCAAATTATTAATGATAAGAAATGAACAGACACCCAATCTATAATCAAACACTAAATCAAATGCCTCTCATTTCTTAATCTAACCATAAAAATTACTCTGTCTCTGTTAGGGTCAATGTATAACTCAAACATGATTTCCATTCAGCACTGTCAGCATAATTAATACTAAACTCCCTACAACTTGATAGGTATTTTGTGGTCTTTGAATTGTAACCCAGTTTCATTAATCTACGTTACTGAGTTGATCCTTGATCATGTGTAACCGTTTTCATTTAATCATATCTTTTTTTCTAGAAATATGAAATCGATAAGTTCCTTTGAATTAGGGTTCCAACCTTATATATCTACTTTCCTTTCAAGTCTTAATGTGTTTTTTTAGAAGTAGAATTATAATGTTTGTAGCTTGTGTGACTAATATATATAAGTACTTTAAACATAGTAGAGTTTCTGCCATCATATCTACAGAAATATTGGTGATAACTGGGTAATGTAACCAGCATTTATTTTACTCTTACTTATCCTGTAGCTTTCCACTTTTTGCTTTGTTTAGACATTATAGTATTGATTAATACTAACTTTGGAATTATGTTTCTTTGGAAAATCATTTTCTCTCCTTATTAATCATGTTCCTAATAAGTAGCTTTATGTAACCATAGTGTGAAATTAGAATACTTTCATATGTACTAATCTGTGAGCTCAGTAGTGTTCTTGTAACCGTTACTATTGAAACAGTAATGTTTATATATTATAATTACATGCATATAATGTTCTTTTACTTAAGTAATAACATCACTCAGAATATCTAAAGCTATTGTGTGACACAACTTGAGCAGCCAGCAGACAAAGACATTGCATATTCATTATAAATAGAGCGCAAAAACCGTTTCCCCACCTTGACTTCATCTCTCAGAGTTCCGGTCTTAACTAATAACTGGAAACCCAGGAAGTCAGCAGTCCGTTAGAGTTTAAGTCACAAAGAGAGAGAGAGACAGCATGACCATGAAGAAGAACAAGACCTCTCCAAAAAAAAAGCACTTTATTCTGTAGATTGTCTTTGTTTCATGTCTCAGTTTGTCACATCTTTGTTCGGTTTATTTTGGTTTCGTTCACTCGGTAATCTTGAAGAAGTGTGTTTATTCAGTGAATTTCATATCTCCAGTTTTATCTGCATGACTGTTAATCTACCATTTCCTGCCTATATACCTTTAGTAATCTTCATCTTGTACTTATATACCTTTATCAGTAAATGACCCTTTAATAAAGTTATTCCTTGTGTTTCTGTGTATGTATTTATCTCTATTTAACTGATAGATCACTGTCCAAACCCCAACCTGAGATTAATCTAAGTAGCTGTGTTTTATGGTGAGTGGGAAAATAGATGGTTTAAGTAGCCGTGTCTCGCTACATGTAAGAGTCATGGAGTTAACTGTTTAATCTTTAACTGCTGTCATGATCTTTAACTGATTGTCAGCTCCTCATGTGTCTGACTCATTTGAAATTCTTGGTCTGGACCATCAGCTGTCCTGTATTCAAAATAGAGCAAGGCCATAACCCCTTTGAGGTTAAAACATGCAGTGAATTTCAACACTGTGTTTTTGTGCAAAATAAAAAGATTGTGTTTCTGTTAACTAGTGACACAACATGCAGGAATCCAAACCAGATCTTCAACAAGGCAGAGACGGCAAAGAACCAGCAAAATGTCAAACACTTGTCAAAACAAGCACTATTGCTACCACAATACTAAACAATCTCTGTCATGATTTGATGTAGACTGTCAAGTATGTCCAGTGTCCAGTTACTTTTGTCTCATATGAGTTTATTTAGATACCTAGCAAGGTCGGAGTGAATGGCTGACATTAGTAGGCCAGTTAGCTCAGTATCAGTCCTTACCTTCCGTTTGAGTGGCTCTGATAATGTGCAAATTTATCATGGACAACTGAGCTCACTGATGTCACTGATGTAAATTTTCAACAAACAAGGACACAAAGTGTCAAAGCACATCATTAGTCTGTCTGGACACACACATTAGTTACCAGAGCAGCAGTACCCCCCCTTCTTAGCCCCCCCCATCTTGTTAACCATGTGGAGTGAGTGAGTGAGTGAGGGAGTGAGTTATAGGCCAGTCCATGAGGTGCTTTGCATCTGAAAACACGAACCAGCAAATTTCAAATCTACTGAATAAACTATACAGCCAAAATAATGCCACCAAGGTTACAAGGCAACCCACCCCTTCTCTTACTGATTGTGTAGTGAGCTGCTTTCACATTCCAAACACACCGTGTGCACTTCCATGCATTGCCATGTCGACTGGGTGGGCGGGACCCTGGCTTTCATTTTGAAAGTAGTTATGGGAATTTTCTAAATCTGAGCTGGAATGCTGTTCTCAACTTTTAGTCTTTTCCACCCCTGATTGCCAAGGTGTCACGAGATGCATGCAAGGGTCGTGGAGATAATGGGGGAAGTCTAAACTGTTGATCCTTTACTCTTGATCTTTAACCAGTCCTCGGCTCCTCTGTCTGAATCAGCTGAAATCCTCATGGTGGATCAAAATGCCCTGTATTCAAAAATGGAGTGAAATATTAATTGTTGTCTCCCTTTATAGCTTCACTCTTTTGGGGTTGAAATATGTGATTTTACAGATTTTAAGCTAAACTAATTTAACTGCTTGGGGGTGAATCATAACATCATGTTTTACTCCTGTCTGAGTTTTTTTTTTTATTATTATTATATTTGTTTTATAGCTTTGGTTTTTCACTTTCAGTGTCAGCATTACTGTGTGATTAATATAAGAGATTAAATTTTGATTGACTGATTAAGGCAATGAAAACACTGAGAAGATACTTGAAATATTGGAGCAGAAGTTGTACAGTGTGATGGACAGAGCTGAGAGGTCGGTTGTGGTTTGATTTGCTTGTTAACATTCAAGTTGAAAAAAATATTATACATTCTGATTTTTTTATTTAGTTGTTATTATTATTATTATTATTATTGTTGTTGTAGTTTTTGATAATTGATTCAGGCACTTTATTAACATTTCTATTTGAATTTCTGTAAAATTGGTTTCATTGGTTTGTTTATTGTGCAGAATTTTAGAAAGTGTTTTTCGAAACAAATGAAAAACATTTGATCTTAAAATAACAAACTATATTTCACTTCTGAAATGTTTGTAATGAAGCTGCAGGCAGATCCTGATAGTCTCATATATAAGTCTGCTTATACTGGGAGTTTCTGTATCAGTATAATATCAATATCAGCTGTGATTTCTGATGTACTGATCTTTTCTCTCACAGCTTCCTCCATCCTCTTCCTTTCACATGATCCTTCTGATCCTACATTTACTTACATGAATAAGATTCTTTAATAAAGATGTCTGACAGTCTGTGCTACTTTATACTGGTTTAGTTCTAATGAATAAATGGTTTTACAATCTCTTCACTGTCAGCATTTAAAGAATCATTATGTGGAGTTTAGAACAGCAGTTGCTGCCATCTAGTGTAGAAAGCACACAGTTAGAATTGAGCATCTGACTGACTCCTCCTTTTTCAAAGCTCCTCCTCCTCTACACTTCCTACACTTGGAGGAAGTGAATCTCATACTGTCTCTCTGATCTTCATTCTGCTTTCACTTCACTCAGAGACACCAATGAGGAGCTTTTAAACAGTGACTGTATGTGTTTGTTTCTTGATGTGTGATTCTGAAAGGAGCTAAAACTCACTCAGTGGGTTGAAGGGCTACGGTGGCTGATTCTCAACTGTGCTGCTCTGATCATTACAGACGTCCTAAAAGTGAAAGTGGAGTTTGGACTAAAGGAGCCGTTACAGAGAAACAGCACAGCAGCAGTTGGAGGAAATGGCTGCTAGAAACCCTCTTTCAGAAGAAGAGCTTTCGTGTCCTGTGTGCTGTGAAATCTTCAGGGATCCTGTTGTTCTGTCGTGCAGCCACAGTGTGTGTAAAACCTGCCTGCAGAAGTTCTGGGAAACTAAGGAGTCTCGAGAATGTCCAGTTTGTAGAAGAAGATCCTCTAAAGATCATCCTCCCATTAGCCTTACACTGAAGAACCTTTGTGAGTCTTTTCTAGAGAGCAGGAGTCAGAGATCTTCAGCAGGGTCTGAGGTGCTCTGCATTCTGCACAATGAGAAACTCAAACTCTTCTGTCTGGATGATCAGCAGCCTGTGTGTGTGGTGTGTCATCTGTCAAAGACGCACAAAAATCATGACTGCTGTCCAATAGATGAAGCTGTGACAGACATTAAGGTAAGATACTTATTCTGCTATTTTATTTTCCTAAATGTAGTTTAACAAAAAATATATGAGCTACAGTTTTTCTCACATGAGTAAAATCCTATCTTGCCAAACTAGTTGAAGTCTGATATTGGGTGTGGTTCCTGCATACAAAATATGGATGAATCATCAAATTTTCAGTTATATTTACTGATCTACACATATTCTTCAATATTATATACTCTAAAATAAAAGCCTAAGTTTCCATCAGACCTAAATAAAAAGGAAGAGCAGGAATATGCTGTAAGTAATTCCACATCTGGCCACCAGAGGTCTCTCTCTCTGGAGTACTAGCCCTGCTTCCAGGATCAAGCTTCCGTAATCAGTCTCACTATATATACTCCCCAAACTCAGCCAGTTGGCGTGAAGTATTGCCACTTCTGCTGTCTGACTACTGAGTGTTTGTCTTGTTTTTCTCTCTGGAGTTTTGAACCTCTGCCTGTCTTTTTTGGAATCTGCCTTTGCTTTTTTATCCTTTTTGCATTGTCTGGCTGAGCCATTGGACTTGATCTACTGTTATGACCTTTTTGATCAGCCTATTCTACTACAAATGTTGGACTGCCCTGTTAATAAACCTGCAAATGGATCCCTCACAACTCTCTGAGTCTGCATTGTCATACATGTCAATCAGGCAACCTAGACAGAACAATAAATCCCGTTCGAACATTTTCCCAAATCAACCATTTCACCTAATACCATAACAAGAAGTCACCCTGTATCAAATA